AAGGGCGGCATGTTTTTGGGCCCTAGCCAGCACTTTGATATATGTCGTCCCTAGGTTTTTCTTCAGGTCCCTGTAGAGTTCCCCTGTCTGTAGGGCATCAGTGAGGAGAGTGATCGTTGTGTCCTCCGTCATGCTTCTGACCTTCAGGGTTTCGTCTCTCTATCTTTTCAAAAATTGATTGGTGGATTCTCTTGGCCCCTGCTTGACACTGGTTAGATAACTGAAGTGTCGTTTAGGGGTGACACTGGAAACAAATTGTGCCAAGAACAAAGATGGAAATTCGGCGAAACTGCCGATCGACCCAAGCATGCTAAAAAATAGCCTGCAAATGGTTGCATTTGTCGCTCATGTAGGATCGGTCCCACAGCCGGGAGCTAGACTACCGATATTGTCCGTTTTGGGTTGCCCCTCACGGATTTAAAACACGTCAACAGTGGTGGAGACCCTAGGCCCTATAAGGTACCAAGGACTCTCCTAGCCCACCGGTGTGGGATTCTTTGGCATTCCTACCGAAGAGGCGGGTTTAAGAGTCACAGGTTTGACCGGCTCGAGGGATCGAAAGGCCCATACCTAACAACCCCCCCCCACACCGGTGCTGCCCCTAGCTCTGATACCAATTGTAGGATCGGTCCCACAGCCGGGAGGTAGACTAACGATATTGTCCGCTTTGGGTTGCCCCTCACGGATTTAAAACGCGTGAATAATGGTGGAGAGACTGGGCCTTATAAGGTACCAAGGACTCTCCTTGCCCACCGGTGTGGGATTCTTTGGCATTCCTACCGAAGAGGTGGAATTAAGAATCACGGGTTTGACCGGCTCGAGGGATCGAAAGGCCCATACCTAACAGCTCCCAACAGCATGAGCCCTCCTTGGTAACTTCTCAAATGTACATGGGGATCTCCCACCCCATCATACGTCTGACCGTTCGGCGGTCTGGCATCCCTATGGATTTCCGCATTCATGATCGATCTGGTGAAGGGGGAAATGATCCCGACCCGTTCTAGGGTGGGTTGCAAGGGTGTTCTGTTCACCTGCTCTCTCAACTCAGTCATCTGCCTCCTCTATTCGGTCATTTCCTCCTCATGAGCCGTATGGGGAGGTGATGGTGGAGTTCCCAGATCCACCAACTCTGGGGTTCTTTCTGGTGGGGTCCATTCCGGTTCTGATGTCTTCGTAAGATCCGGGTACCATCACGTTCTTCGTACTGGAAATGGGGGCCAATTGGCGTGGCTCTTCTCGCTTGGGACCCGACCAAGGTGTGGTCACTATGAGTGTGCTGCATGTCCCTAGTCTCGTGAGCCCTTTGGTGATCTCCCTGATGAGCCCGCGCATGGACCGAGGCCCTACTCGTTTCCGTATCAGCAATGTTATCGTCAAATGCGGTTTCTGCTGTGTAACTGGATTGCCCCCCATCATGTGTGTCTGCCATCTGCTGCATCACCCTCGCTAGGTCGCGCATGGCATGGGGATTTCTTCTGAGTGCTTCGGGAATAAAGAAGTCCTCGTCGAATTGTTGGTAGGATGCCTCGCTGGAGCGTCCCTAGGTGGTCCTGCTGTTCTCGCGTCTCCCCGAGCTTCCACCAGTATGATGAGAAGTGATTCTGACCATTTTGTAGGTAGTTTTTTTGCTTAAATCAATGTATTTCTTTGGAAACTTTTAGTAAACCTTCCCACAGACGGCACCGAAGGCCCAACACCAACCTTGGATCTAGGGTAAAATTGCTAGAGTAATGTGTATAAAAGAAATATAAAAACTGATAGACTCACTCAAATAGTCTTGCTTGTTTTAACAGTAATAGTGATTACACGGAAATGGCCGAACGGTAGTTACGGTTCAAAGGCTAATACAAGAGCTAGAATACAATATAAGCTTGAGAGTAAACAAAATCTAACCCTTTCAATGAATTAAATGTTGCTATTTATACTAGATAGGGGTATGAGGTGCTCTAATATGATTGGTTGCCTCCCATGCCACTTGACACCCCATGATCTAGCATTAACTGCAGTCGGTTACTCGAGCAATATCCCGTTCGGGATTAAGTCCAGCTAAATCATCAATCAGGAATAAGTTAATTACCCAAGTAATAATTATATCTCGTTCGGGATGTGCCGAACGGGGTCATCCATTCGGGTCTGATGATTCTCCCTGGGCCTTTCCTTGCGCCTGGGCTTCAGGGATATTTTGGGCCGCCGTATTGGGCCGGACCTTAATATCCCATCACCAAAATTTTTATTCAATCTGCCATAAATATGGCATTCCTAATGCATGTGGAATTGTTTCCCCCAGTTACCGGAGATGGTTTTGCTGGGGCAGCAAAGGTGTTTTTTTTTTGCGTTTTTTAGTTTTTTAAAAGTAATATTTATTTTAATTTTTTTAATTTTTTAAATTAGATGCCTTTCCCACCGCCTGTACTGCCTCCCTGCACCACCACCTCAGACCGGTGTAAAAAATGCCATTTTTCTAAAAATTGCCATTTTTTTTGAAAATGCGAAAAACATGGCATATTACTATTTCATAATGCCATAATTTTCCTTGATTCTGCCATACATATGACATTCGTAATATATGTGGCATTTTTTTCTGCTAGTGACTGGAGGTGGTGGTGCTAAGGCGGTAGAAGCGGCGGTGATTTTGTTTTTTGCGTTTTTTATTTTTTATATAGTTTTTTTTGTTTTTTTGTGAATATTTTTTTTAATTATTATTATTTAAATATTTGTATTAATTTTTTTATTATTTTTTACGAATTATTATTATTTTTTATTATTCTTTAATGAATTAAAACATTTTAATAGCAACAAGGGTATATTTGTCCAACACACACATAATTAGTCCTATCAAAACATAGTTTACTTTTTGGTCCTATTTGTGCAAAGTGAGAAGCTTTTAGTCCTATTTTGACAATTAACTCTAAAAATTATATACCCTATCATTTATAATCATATAGTTTAGAAAACATTCATTAGGTTTAACAATATATAAAACACACTTGATGGCAACACCTATTAAAAAACAATTTTATTTTGAATAACTATGCTTTAAAAATTCAAACATTTCGATGTAAAAATAAATAAATTTGAAGTTTAATTTATTTGTTATTACTTTAAATGAGTTTAAACCTATTCTTTAAATAATCGAAAAAATAAACCTATTCTTTAATTATGAGATGTTCATTTTAGTACTTGAATGTATATAAGAAAAAATTTAGACCAGAAAATATCAAGTAGTTGAAATTTTATGTTACCTCAGTTCCTTTGGACTTTACCAATTTTAAAGTAGGTGAGAAATGAGTAGATCAACAAATTAGTTGATTTAATAGGAAAGTGACAAATTTTTTGGGACAACAAAAAAGACACTAGTGGAAAAACGTCAAACAGAGGCGCTTCATTGGAGGCGCTTTTCAGTACAAGTGTCTCTGTTTGCCGTTTTTTTTTAATTTCCTATCACGCGTGCGGCGCTTCTCCATCGAAACGCCTCCAAATATATTTTCCATTTTTTTTATTTAAATCTGATGGCGTGCGGCGCTTCTTTAACGCAAACGCCTCCAATTTATTTTTTTCGGACCTTTTTTTTTTAATTTGAAGGCGTGCGGCGCTTAAATGTTAGAAACGTCTCCCAATTGTTTCAATCGCTTCGATCGACGACGTACGTAATACGCAACCCTAGCCGCGCCCACTTCGAGTTCAACCGTACCCGTCGTCAAAGCTACCCGGTCGCATGAGCTGAAAACGCAGTGACGATACCTGGCCGACAGCTATATACGTCGAAGCCACAGCAGCCCGCAGCTCTACCCGTTGAAGCCGACGATACCTGCCGGCAGCTCTACGCGCCCACTTCTTTGTCTGCTACCGCTCGCTCTCCGTCTCTACTGTTCGCCGTCGACCGTGCCGGCTCGCCGTTGACTGTTCCGGCCTGCTGCTGTGTTAAATTGATAAATTAAAGGTTAATTTTTTTTCTTTTTTCTTTCTTGTCATATTTGGTTAATTTAATCTGTATTTGATTTTAGTTTGATTTTTTTTGGATTAAAGTATATTTAATCCAAGTCCAGTGTATTTTTTTGATTATATTATGTGTAATGAGATGGATAGAGTAATTTTTTTATTTTTTTATATTGAATATTGGTGTCATAGGAAAGATCATAAAAAGTAATGAAATTTAAAATATTTTTTATAAAAATTAGATAATATATAAAAAAGTTATAGGACTCTAAACAAATTTGGAATTTTTATTTTGGAAGAACCCCGCCTCTTCTTACACACACCTACCGGCTTCTTAGGCTTGGCTAACATATTAGTACTGTGAAGGACTAATTTTTAATCCATGTTTCTTTTTTTTTTTATAGTCCAGGTGTCGATGCTTGCACTCCAACAAATCCTCTAGACAGTCAAATCCGGATATTATCACAGTCAGCCTTCGTCGGTATTGGTACCACAAGACGAATTCAGCAGGACTTCGTTTCAACTGAATCCAGAAGGGTCCTCCTACTATGCAGGGCTTCCTTTCATCTATATCCAGAAGGGTCCTCCTACCATGCGAACTCGCGACCTGAATTTCCATACGCCCCCTTCTAAGTGGTTGTGCAACTCCGTGAAGGTAGGAAGAATCATTGGAAGCAAGACTTCCATCCTCTCCCCTAAATGTGCCTAGCGGGATTCGAACGCGAGACCTCCGCTAGGACACGGTAACCTCCCATCCAATGAGCTGGAATGATTGGTTTAATCCATGTTTCTTAGTTTCTTGCGAGAGGAGTTGATTTTCATTTTTTTAATAGTGTATGCATTGTCCGTTCAAAAAAATTGTGTTTGTATTGTAGATTGGTAGAGATGGTTTTGAGCGAGAGTACTCTTCATTTTTTCCTCTTCCTTTTGTATATAGTAAGATAAGATAGTTATACCTATAGACAAGTTGGTAGATGGTATGAGCTGCTGTTACGGGCAGGTATAGACTGGTGAGGTGGCCTGTTATAGAGGCCGGGGCACTCTAACAGTAATAGATAGAAAAGTTGGAGATGCAATGAGATGCCTTGATGATGATGCAATCAAAAGAGAAGAGTTTAAAAGACATGAACAAATTCAGCAAACAACCCTAATAAATCTCAAAAGAATGACAACAACACACAAAACAAGCACACTTGACAAAGAAAAGGAAAAGGATTTGAAGAAGCAATCAACTAGTGAATACAAGTACGAGCTAGAACCATACTATGCACACTCAACCAAGAGTATTAACTGCTTCCCAGACCAAATTCTTGGGAGGGAGAGGCCGGGTCAAATTCCTGGCCTCCAAGGCCGCTCTTCGGAGCGTCCTAAGCGTCAAGCGGTTGGCCTCCCAGAAGGAGACGCACGCGTAGGGCAACCCGTGTTTCTTGCAAAGCTCCTTCACAAAAGGAGAAACCTTCCTGAGGTGGCATCTGGGCAACCTCGGAAACAGATGGTGCTCGATCTGGAACTGCAGCCCCCCGTGGAACCAATCCATCCAATGAGGACATGAGATGTCCAGCGACCCGTACGTCTGCTTCTTGAACCAGTCGCTGCTCGTGGGCGGGCCCACGTACACGCTCGTCGAGAAGTGGTTAAGGCAGAACTGGATGTGCTGAATTCCTGTGACCGAGAAGCTAGCCAGCACAAACATGATCCTCTCCCCCCAGTTTGGTAGAAAGGAAACAAGATAGGGGTACCAAACCCAGAAGGCGAGGAGCCCCAAAAGCTCTTGGGCCCGATTGGGCACTTTTCGGGCGGATAGCAAAAGAGAGAAGGATTGGGAAAAGAGATTGAGTCGGGCTAAGCACATGACTGGATAGAAAGTCCAGTGCTGGTGACTGATGAAGAATCTGGCGAAGGAGTCGAAGATCATCTTTCTGTCATAGAAGCATGAGTTGAGGGAGGTGAAGAGCTTGGAGGAAACGGCGAAGAGGGGCATGTGCTGGAGATCCGGGTCGAAATCCAGGCTGTTGCAAGATATGTGGTGAGCATTGTGGTTCCAATTCCACCACCCGATGCTTATTCCGGCCAGGCAGTTCCCGGTGAGGATCTGGGCGAACCGATTCCAGCTTTTGTTCATCATGATCTGATAATGCCCGGAATCGTGACCTAACCATCCACTCTGAATCCATAGGAATCCCATCAGCCCCCCACTGCCCAAGTGAGCCCACCATTTCTCACTGCACACCACTCCATACACGCTCGCAGCGAAGATCAGTGAGATGAAACAGAGCGAGAGGAGGACTCCGTGCCCTTTTTTGTCGAACAACCCCATTTCTGTGAAATCCGCGGCGAGTTTCCGGTAATCCTTGGACACGTCGGAGACGGTGTGGTCGTTCAGGAAATAGCCGTTGGAGTGGCGGGAGAGGTGCTTCCAGGCGGCGGGTGGGTGGAAGGCGACGAAGGAGTCGGTGACGTCTTGGCCGGCGAGGGTGGTGAGAGGGAGGGAGCCGCCGGGATGGGTTTTGACCCACTCTGACACGTCGTACACCTTGCCGTGAATGGACAGCCACAGGTCTCCGGCTTTGTTGTGCTTCTTCAGCTCGTCTGTGGAAATGTACTTGGCCATTGGCCGCTGGGAAGAATGGAGAAGAGGAGCCTAGCCGGGTTTTGTTTTTGGCAGAGGAATCAAACAAACGAACAAGAAACAAGGAATTCGTATGATGATGATTTCAAGAGGAGAAGGGGGTGGGTATCTTTTTGGAACACGCACATGTGAAGCCGGGCAGAGGAGTCGGAGGGAGGAGTCGTTTGGTTGATTTCAAAATAGAAACCCCTTTTTAAACGCGCTGGCGGACTGATGGTCTCATTTCTTTTGAACATTACTTTTAATAAAGTGATTGAAAAGGTAAAAGTTATGGTTGAGATTTGAGTATAATAAAGTGAAATGGTATGGACCACATCCTTCTTTCCAAAAAGGGAAACATGACCATCATTTTGGGACATACAAAAAAGCAAAAATACAAGACCATCATTTTGGGAAGGAGTTAGTACTTGTTTGTAATATACAACTATTCATTTCATTGTACGGAATATTTTATACCTCTCATGTACTATGAATGTCACTTGTGAAGTTGTGAGGAGGAGGGAGAAGCTTCTTTGTCACAATTTCTATTACTCTTTCTTTCCTCAAAAGCTACCCAGTTTACATCAACTCCCGTTTATATCAGGGGCTATCTCCGATGGAAGGGTGCATGATGTGTCATAGGAGAGATAAAGAGATTATATATTTTAATTTAATATAGATGAAACAGTTTTTATACCGTGAGATCATCTCACGGAGCATCATGCTCCACGTTCAAAACGATGCAGTTTTACACATTTTTTTAAAAAAAAAATCATGTGAACATTACACACGTGTACAATAACTGTTTTATTATCTTTTTGTCCTACTAACATGAATGAAGTAACTCGCGTGTAAAGAAATGCAACTCACGTTATTGATCAATGTACCTCAAGTCCAGTCGAAATGTAACTTGTCAAATACATATTATAAGAAATAAAACGTTGATTTCAATGTTTTTGGGATAATGGGTTGGGTCCAAGACTATCGGCCCGTTACACCCGAGCTTTGGCCCGACCAAGCTCAGAATACAGTCCGGCTAATGGATATTGGTCCGGGATTATTTACTTATTTATCGAGCCGGTTGGCCCGTTAGCTTTGACGTGAATTATTACTTTGGGCCAAGCCCACGTAGATTAGACTTTAGAATTGTGATGGATGCCTATAAATAAGACCAACATCCACATGTATTCTCTACGCTATTTTACCATACTGAAATACTGCTAGTTACTCTACCCGGGATATTTTCTACCAGTGCTTTCATTGAGAGCTAATTTCTCTCTTTTTCGGTAGAAAATTGGGGAGATTCAAGCAGCATCAAGTAAGATTGCTTCCAAGAATCACAGATCATCATGAAAAATTAATGAACGATGTCACAAACAATTTATGTCATATCTGGATCTAGATGGAAGAATTTAGTTGCACTTGCAGCTAAGATCTGGCCTAACCCAGCGGACACCAACACCAGAAGAGCGAGACGGACGCGCAATGGATGACCCCGAGCACCGTCGCTCCATCTCCATCACAGCAGCGTTGCACACAGCTCCTCAGACCGAAATGGGACCCGACCGGGCCGGCCGGGTAGACCACCGGAACCGGGTCCGTCAAAACCCGGGTTGTTTCCGGTCTTCATTTTCTAAAACCGGGGCCGGCCGATCCGGGACCGGTCCGGGACCGAGTCCATCCCTAGGTTTACTAATGTTATCATAACTTTCTATTGGATTATTCAAATCCTATGATTCGAGCTGAGTTGGATTCATTGCATCGAGAGCTACAACCATTGTGAAGAAGTCATGTCCAAATTATGAAGAGAATAAAAGACATCGATCTTATACCTAACTAGTTTGCGAAAACTAGGAGTTTCACGAATGATGGAAAGTTTTACAAAAAATACAAGTTTTACAAAAACATGTTTCGAGTTTTACGAAACTCACCTCCTTCGTACCCAAGCTTTGACAGTAACCAGAATTCCAACTAAACCATACCAATACACTCTATATCAAATAAAACGTGTCTAGGAAACATTTTAACACCATAAAATCATAGTTTCATATATTAGAGGTAATCGAATACATACAAGCCCCAAAAGTTATCATGCATAAAACCGTCACCTCACTTGGATTATTGCATGATTACAACTCTCTCTAGCTGTGATTTGGTCCTCTCTTTCGCTTGGTTTCTTCTCCCACGATTGTTTAAGCTATTTTTTGTAAGCTAAACTACGTAAAATACGACTTGTATATTCGAAAACAACAAACCAATTGGGTAACATGGAAGGATCAAAGAAAGAATAAAGAATCAAGGAAATAATGATCAGATATAAAATCCTTAACAAATTTAGATGTATTTCTGAGTGTTGTCCGATGGTACATGTGTGTTTCAAAGTATGAGTGAGTAGGAATGCTTGTGTGCTTACATTGTGTGCTAATGTTATTTAAAAGAGTAGAAATTAATGCATCTCATTCGTGTCATCACTTATGACTCGTCCGATGGAAAAGTAGGAGCAGGATCGGTTACATTGTTGTCTTCATAAAACAGGCTGACACTCCATTATCTTGCAGCTCCAAATTAAGATAGTCAATAAATGCTAATAATGACATGTATACGTTACGTCTGGGTCGTTCCATCATTGCCTGACGGTGTGATACGACGATTTGATGACTCGTCATAAAGATTAGTCTACCTAACTAACTTCCTCCTTTATTACATTAATGACCATATTAATATATAAAAAATGTCCTAACAGCTACATTATATCTTATAAATGTATTACTAACTTTCATGATCAATTCTCATAAATGTAGAATCAAACCGTCAAATATTTGATCCAACAACGGTCTTCTTCTCTTTTAAACAAGCGAAAATGGCCAAGTGAAGTTTACGTAAAAATCTCTTCAAGCTGGAATGCTTCAGCCACCATGGCCAATCACTAGGTTGCAAGTTTTCCTTTAGGCTTTTTACTTTTTAGCCTTTAATAAGTCTATTAAATGAACATTAGTCCTCTTATATCATTCATTAGAGCATCTCCATTCATGATCTCTAATAATCAATTTTTTCTATGATTCTTACCATTTGAATATTGTTATATAATTAATTATAAAATAATTTCAAAATTCATTTGTCTCTCAATCATCATCTTCAAATAATCTATTTTTTCTCTGTCCTGCATTAATCTCTATTACATATACTTTTCAAATAATCTTAAAATAATACGATTTCATATTTTGATCCCAGATTATTGTAGCAAATAATCCCATTAAATAATCTATATCACTCAATGATAATTCCCTAAAAAACTGTCATGTCACCAAATTAATCTCATAATAATCCTCCTTGATCACATTGTACATTTCACCCCCTCAAAAAACCACATTTACAACAATTTAGACAATTGAAAGGTGACATTTACAAACTGAGGAACACAGGTCTCACATTTCAATATGGTGACTATTTCAGGGACTAAAAGTATGGTTTTCCCTAAAATATTACACATACCAATATTATTATAATAACTAATAAGTGGCTCCAAAACTATTGATGGACTCGGGCCGGGTCGGGCCCGGGTCGGGCCTAGGGCCGGTCGGGCCGCCGGGTAGTATGACATGGGTCCAGGACCGGCCCGAGGGTTGGACGGGTCCGGTTGGGGCCGGGCCACCCGCCCGGGTCACGGGTCGGGTCCGGTTTGGGCCGGGCCGGTTAAATTTTTTTTATATAATTTATATTTTATTGTTTATAGTTTTATACGAGTATTAAAAACAAACTTCAATTGCATTTATTTGAAATGAAATAGGAACTACATTTGAAAATTAAAACAAACTTTAAGAGATAAAACATTTTGAAAATTGTAATCAATCGGAACTTCCCGCACCTCCCGATCCTTTGGCTTTGTCACATGACTTCATATGTATGATTGCCATCCTGAATCCGCCTGAAACCCCCATGCTACATTTTTTCTCGCACCATTTGCAAATTGCGTACCACATCCCGGTCTTCGGGTCCTTCTGCTTATCAAAATTATACCGTATAATGGCATCTTGATTTTCCATCTTAACTTCTTAAGTATAAACTATAAAGTAGATATATAAATAATAAATATAATATATTGGAGAATAAGAGAATTAGAGAGTAGAGAGTTAAGAATAGGATTTAGGAAGAATTGGAGAAGAGATATGAAAAAATGTTTAAGATTAGGAGTATTTATAGGTTTTTTTACCCCCCACCCCCCACCCCCCCCACCCACCAGCCAACCCCCCGGACCCCCCCTTTACCCCACCCAACGGCTATATAGCCGTTTGGGTTGTCCCCAGCCCCACCCCCAACGGCTAGTAGCCCAAACCAATTTTTTTTTTTTTTTAAATTAGACCCGGACCCGGGCCTGACCCGGTCGGGTCCCAATAATCCAGCACCGAGCCCGCCCCGCCCCTTCCCACCGGTTCGGGTCCATACCCGGTCCCGGACCGCCCGACCAGGCCGGTCCCGGGGCCGCACAGTACCGGGTCGGGCCGGGTCACGGGCCGGGTGGCCCGAACCGAATCCATCCCTATCCAAAACACACCAGGCATTCCCCACCCTGATGTAGGTCTAAGAAGGATTTTAATAATGATAAAAATCAAATATCTTGAATAAAATACCAAAATCTTATTCATCGATTTTTTGAAATTTTCTATTAATGAAAATTTTACATCTACTCGACGGTGTCACAGATTGTCTGAAATTATCCGTGACTAATCACCAACAGGATTTCCTACATATATATGAAGTATGAACCCTTTAATTGTTTCATACAAACTCTATTTTATTCCCAATATATTATAGTTCTCCTAAAAGTTCAATGATGTAATTTGATGTCATTTTCGAATTCAATGCTTATTTCAGATATGTCATTTTATTTCAATGTACTCTTTTATTTTTTTATGTTACATATTAAAAATGTTAGTGATGTAATACATTAAAAGTTTTATTGAATTATTGTTGTGCGTATATTTAAAATTCATTTGAAATATAAATATTAAATTTTAGTAATTGTTGTAAATGTCTTTACAAAATTAGGTAGTTGTCACTTGTCACGGATCATTGTCCGTAATAAAATCAGCCAGTTTCGGTTAGAAGGTTCCAGCGTTGGTTTCGCTAGGAATTCAATCCCCGACGAATCCGACAAAAAAAATTGTCACAACCGTAATGTCACGGATTTTTTCCATCACAATGTCCTTTGTCAGTTAAGTTTACAAAGCTATTCATTACAAAATAAACGAGCTATTTTTTGTAGTGGGTGATCTCTCTCTCCTTCATATGGAGTAAATATATCACAATCCATACTCAACTCACAATGTGTATTGCAGATTTAAAATTGCTAGTCGTTGCTCAAGGCCCGCATAGGCATACACCTTAGTCTACTGGCAAGAAACCCCACACTTAATTACCTGCACGAATAGCTTAGTTGGTTGAGTGGTGGAAAAGTTGGAGGAATGATCAAGGATCAAAACTCACAGCGGTCGTGTGGTGGTTAAAGCTCATGTTGTTGGGTTGAACCTCTAGCATGCACGAGTATAAGATCTACCTATGTTGGACTGACTGAGTCACTGTGATTTACAACATCTCATATATCCTGTCAGGTCGAGGCGTGGAAGGCCATTGTTGTTAAGGATTTTGACCTTTTGGAGGAAAGAGCCCCCCCCCCCCCCCCTCCCCCCTCACGCTATCACGCTTTCCATCATTTGCAATGGAGCCAAAGATTCATTATTTTTTGGCTTGAGATTATGATGGAATAAAGCAAAATGACTCACTAAATTGTCTGCGCTTCTTTGTTATGAAGCAGCAGTCAGTCCATGCAATTTTGGACGGGATTTTCACTATGGGTCATCCGGAAACAGTCTCTCTGTGCTTTAGTACAGGGGTAAGACTGCGTACATCCGATCCCCCCTTACCCCACCGTAGGTGGGAGCCTTTGCAGCACTGGGGTAAATGAAAATGAAGACATACTTTAGTACTTACATTTCATAATGCATTAATGCTATAATGTACAAGTTCAGTTGAATGTAATTATATACGGGCTACCATTTAATGCCATTTCCAACTAGCAATGACAGAATTAGGAAAGAACTCGACCCCAACACTGCTTGTAAGAATTGGGAAAGAACCTGATCCCAACACTGTTCATAAATAGTTTTCACACCAAAGTATGTTGCTGAAAAGGCCAAAGCATGCAATCAAGAGCATATAGGATCAGAGTCGTGAATGAACTGCACTTCTCGTTCTGGCGTATGACTCGGACAGCTTGGTTGTTTGTTGGTTGGAAAGGGTAGACATGACAAAGGCTGCTACCACAGAAGCTAACTCTTGTTGGTGTGAGGTAAATTCGTGATCCGCTCCTTCGATTATGTGCAGCGTGTGTGTTGGGATGTACTTGGAAAATTCATAAGCATCTTCAACCGGTACCATTTCATCCTTAGAACCATGAATGGTAAATACCCTGGTGGAAATTGTTTTATCTTGTCATTGAATTTCTTTTGCTTGCAAAAGTTCATAAACAGTAAGAGCACGCTATGTGTACCCCTCCCTTTTGGCTTATCAATCATATATAAGCTATATAAATTTTTCTACCAAGAGCTACCCCTAGGCTGAAAATATTTCTTTTGGCTTATCCCTTGGCTGAAAAATAATGCTAGTTGTAGTAGTAATAAGAGGTTTTCCTCCAATATGACTAAAATAATACTCATGTACAAAAATATCTCTACTTTTTGGAAAGCTTTTAAAAGTTTTTTAAGAGATTTACGGTTTTGAAAAACTAGTCATATTAGTCACTTATTCCCGAAAAAACTGGTCATATTTTGGTCATTACAAAGTGCATGAATTATATTCAGGGGCGGAACCAGGGGACGAGCCGGTGCCACCGCCGCCCCTTCGCCGGAGTTTTTTGAGTACTAGTATAGGGTATTTAGACTGCCGCCCCCTGTACCTTCATCTTCTTCCTTGAGAGGAGACCTGTGCCCGGGGCTCCGATTCTGCGAACCAGGGAGAAAGAAGACTGCCACGCTTGTTTTTTTAATTAAACCGATCTGCCAAACGACGTCGTTTGTTTAAGTGCATAGGAATAAACAAAACGACGTCGTTTTGGACCCAAATCTGATATACCCGTTTCACCCTTCACCCTTCCCGCATAAGCGCATAGAGGATAGAGCAGACTCGCAGTCCAGGGCTCAATCGCTGGCTCGCCGTCCCTCGCATCTAGACTCTCCGTCGAAGTTGCTTGATTCACTGCCGGCCGCCCTAGCTTGTTTCTCCGACATCGAAGATTCGAAGTGAGTCAAGTGACAAAGTCAGTTCGGTAAATACTCTGAAGCCAGTTGCCTATTTTCAGTAGTTCGGTACTTTGGTAAATACTTTCAAAATTGAAATCTTTTTTAATTAGTATAATTGCTTATTTGATAATTGCTTTAATTACTTATTTAATTTAAATTGAATTGATTAATCGCTTGACAGTTTGAATTCTTTTGTAATTTATTGACTAATTACTTTAATTGCTTTAAAGTTTAGTTGATTAATTGCTCGAATTGATATAAAGTTGGAATTGTTTGTGCAATTTTTTGGATTAATTACTTTCATTGCTTTACTTGCTTTTAATTTTAATTGATTGATTGCTTTAAATCTAAGAATTTAAAGTTGAAAATATTTTTAACTTATTAGGTTTCTCATGTGATCATGTCTATTTTACAATTTGTAACACGAGGCGCTAGGTCTTCTAGACGGGATAACGAAGAAAGTAATAGAGAAAAACATCCTCGTGTAAAATTTGATTCAAATGATGTTGTGTCTGATCCTGGATTATGTAAACCAATCAAAAATTATAATTCTTGTATTAGACACCAGGTTCTAAGAGAATATTTAACAAGAGGTCAATGTAGACCGATTGGTCACGTATATCCTAAGGGTATGTTTGGGAATTTGAAGGGAAGGGGAGGGTAAGGTTTTGAAGGTTAGTCGTTGGAAGGGAAGGGGAGGGAAAGGGTTGGAAACCCTTTTTCTTGTTTGGGAGTATCAAGTTTGAAAAGATAAAGGTTTTGGATGAATTATAATTAATATCACTTCACATATATGACGAATTCAAATAATTGAGTTTATATATATTTAAAATTGAGCTAAAGTTGTGATTTAATTAGTTATCCTTCAAAATCCCCCAATTTGGGAGAACTTGAAAATTGAGCATTTGAAGGGTTTTGGAGGGTTACAAAAGCCCTCCAAAACCATCCCTCCGTATTTTTTAACTTCCAAAATGAAAGGGAGGACCATAAACCCTGGTGAAACATACCCTCCCCTTTAAAACCCTTTAAAACATACCCTAAGAGAACATATGGTAAAGAAAAAAAAAGTTTTCAACCTGTTTGATTTAATAAATATCCATGGTTGGAGTATAGCATTTCAAAAGACGATGCTTATTACTTTTGGTGTTATCATTTCAAGAATTCAAATAAAGGGAACCGATTGGAGAAGTTGCATTTACTGATAAAAGGGTAAATAATTGGAAAAAAGCACTAGATATATTTAACACTCATGTTGGGTAGTGCTCACAATGATGCAAAAATACAACTTGAAGCTTTTCAAAATCAAAGACAAAGTGTCTCACATTTGATAAATCCACGTGGTCCGGAAATAGAAGCGGCGTATCGCATTCGTTTAACTACAGTTTTGGATGTCATACGATTTCTGTTGAAGCAAGGTCTATCATTTCGTGGTCATGATGAGTCATCTAGTTCTTTAAATAAAGGTATTTTCCTTGAATTACTAGAGTTTCCTTGAATTACTAGAATGGTATAGCCAAAGAAATGAAGAGGTTGGTATCCGGAAGATTTTTCTTCTACTGATTGTGTTATGCTCAAACAACAACTCGAGACATAGATTCATGCCGTACAGAGTCAAAGTCAATTTCTTGCAATTGAAGATTTGGGAAATCTTGCCAAACAAATGGTTGAAAGTGGCATGAACCTTGTGTTTTCTTTGGTATATCGCCGTATTGAGTTGGCATTAGTTTTACCAGTTGCAATAGCTTCAGTTGAAAGATTCTTTTCTGGCATGAAAATCATCAAGACTGATTTGCAGAGTAGAATGGGAGATGAATGGATGAATGACAGCTTGGTGATATACATGGAGAAGGAAATTTTTGCCAAAATTGACAATGAATCAATTTTGCAACGTTTTCAACACATGCAGACACGCCGCACACAATTGTCTCAATTGGTTTCTTCTTCTAACAATTAATTGTAATGTAATGTACTCTTCTCACAAATTTTATATTCTGTAAACTTTTATAACGATTTTTATTTTTGCATTGTATAATACTTTTAGCCTCCCCTTGGTTCCGCCCCTTATTATATTATGTTATTCTTTCTAATAATAATAAGTTTAGATGCTCCTTTTTTTGTTCGGTTGACGATAAATGGTAATTTGACTACCATTTTTTGAATATTAATTCCCTTGTCTTATTTTTTAAAAAAAACTTGATACATATTGTTAATAATTCAGAAAAATATTATTCAACCATTTCAGCTACAAGATTTCAATTCAAGCTCATTCAGTCATTTTACACAAATTTACCTCTACCAAACAGACTGAATATACACAAAATTCCTGACCTGCAGTTTGGTGGAATAGCTTGACATGACGTGCAAATCTCAGTTGTAAGGCGGGCTCTCAAACTTTCCTCGGTTACTCTATACTCAACTGTCCCTGAATTTTTTTAAAATACATAAGAAATAAGGATGAAAAAAATAAACACAATATTGTATCCCAAATTGAAACATGTTTATTTTTTCTAATGGATTATTAGTTGATTTTTTTACAGATTAAAGTGCATCTCAGTAAGCTTATAGTGACTACATAAGCCAATAAACCGGTGGTAAATATTATCCATAGTTTTAAGATGTGCACTATTTGATTTCATTTTCAAGCCTAAGCTTCGATGAAAGAGTTTTTAGAAAATCTCAAACTTCTCAAGCTGTATGAGCTTTTTACCACCAAAACTTCTCAAACTTCGGTGAATCCATTCTACAACTTGTATTTTGTTCAAGTTGGAAAGACGACATACCTTATTGATATATATTAAATTAATTTGCAGCTCAAAATATATGAGAATTAACGCAAAGCACAGAATAAATAACAAAGGACAAGCTACAAACCTCTCTTGTTCTTAACATCGATGTATCTATCTTGTTTGATTTTCTCCACATAATTTATCCCCAAACGGCCTTCAATCCCTCTCTTAAGATTAAAGCGGCCAGCAATATTAACAACCACCGGTATATCCCTATACTTTGATGCATACAAAAGCACGGCATTCCCTCCTAGAAACATTTGGTTCAACATTCTCAAATATAGTGAAAATGGTGCTAGCTCACAGACAATTTATCTTTTGCATATCAATTGGGAAACAAAGTAGTGGTACTACTATCTATTGGGAAAAGAAATCTCTAAATAAGAGAACCATCCTCCTATCCTTCCAAAAATAATACAAAAATGAAAACAAGTACAAAATTGGAGAAGTCTTTGGGCACTTTCCGATGAAGGCACCACTAAGAAATCAAGAACCCCATTTTAATTTTGAATTGTGAGAACCTATGTTCATGTATGATTAGACATACAAGAAGTGCTGATCATCTCAATAAAACAAAAGAAAAGGAGTAACACAAATAGAAGGATTGGGAGAAAATAATGGGAGGGCATTTATATGTGCAACATTCTGAAAATGATTACGACTGAAAAAAACCAAATATACAAAGAGGAGTATACCGGCAACTGAAAATTGTATACCTTTGCTATGCCCAATAATTGCTGCTATGAAATATCCATTCTGACGAAAATGTTCAACTACAGCATGCAAATCATCAGCTTCTCTACGGTAGTTACCATATTGGAATGAACCCTCACTTTCACTGAGAAAAACTGTAATTTTTATAACTGGTGATATTGAGTTTCCACAAAACAAAGGTTATGAGGCTTCTTCAAAGAAGAAACTGCTTGCAGTCGACTAAGCCCATAACTCAAAGTGCCCATACAGGCTAAGACAATACTGTCAACTATTTTTTTGTACAAGTAATTCTTCACTCATTGCTAACTTGATATGCTCTAGTGGTACAGCACATTGATCATTGGCATTGTGCTATATGACATCAAGAAGTTCAATGGTTATACATTCTATGTAACTCATAGACACAATTTGCTTTTTAGAAATTATTGGACAAATGTATTGAAGAACGGATTTACTAGGCTTGATATCTTTTCCTATATTAAAAAACATTTACTGAGCAAGCCTAGTCATACAATCAGAAGAATCTAGAGACCACATACCCATTGCCAGAAAAATCAAAACGGAAAGCGCTAATTCCTGCTTTCTCAAAAGCAGCAGCAAGGGTCACCATGGGAATGCGATCCTGAGATAAAAGTAAAGTAAAAGGATATGTATGTAAGAGGGAGCATTACCATATTTGTGACAAGCGATACAACACAAGAATTGTCCGTTCATGGAATCCCTACGTCTAAATGAAATAACCTTTGAGGACCTGAAACCATGACAAACAACTACAAGCTCCTTAGTACCAGCTTCATGTAATATTCCCACTAGCTTCTCGCCATGGTTGTTCACCACCGCTACCTTTTTGTGTTGCATCTGATATTTTGAAGGAAAAAACTGATTAGGATGAATTGAGATTCAATAATGGATCAGCTCAACTCTCATAAATTCACAAGGCTGTATTCACCAAAATTCCAAAGCAAATACAATTGGAATAAAGTGAAAAATGTGATTTCAATCCCTAAATTATACAGTACCTTTTTCTGTCTGAGGCTTTTTTCTTAAAATAAACGCACAAACACACACCGCGGAATGTAGTTTCTAATATAGGCATGACAAAAAAAAACGGCCCACAATGATGCCCTAGCCCGAGACATTTCGGGCTGGTCCGACCCGTCCCGTCTTGCAAATGGGGCGGGTCCGCCTCGTCTATACAATGGGGCAAATCCATATATTAATATTGATTCGTGTCACCCAGTCCTGTCTCGCTCAATATATAAATATACATACTTTTTTTTAAAGTATACTCCAAATATACTTCAACATACATATGCGTGTATATAATAAATCATAATTTTTTATCTTATAATATATTAATATTTATATTTGAATGAGATGAACGACGAATATATATATATATATATATATATATATATATATAAGAGATCAAATACCAAACATGCTTAAAATACTAACCTACAAACTCAATAATATGCATCGCTTTGAACTTCAATGTGCAGTAAAAATAATGTAAAGATGCAGGGGTGAGATCACATACAAACTAGTCCTCCCATTCAAATCATCTTTACATTATTTGTATTGCACATTGAAGTTCTAAGTGTTTCATATTATTCAAGCCATAAAATAGCAGTTTCATATTTACATTATTTGTATTGCATATTGAAATTCAAAGGGTGCATTTTTACATTATTTGTACTGCATATTGAAGTTCAAAGTGTTGCATATTATTGAGTTTGTAGGTTAGTAAGTTAAGCATGGTTTGTATGTGATCTCACCCCTAATATATATATATATATATGTGTGTGTGTGTGTGTTCAATTATTAATATTGTTAGTACCCAATTTTGATAGATTTTGATGATGCCACTATACTTTGCACCCGTACATTGTGTCTAAATTAAATTCAAATATTAGCGTTAAAATGTGAAAAAACAAATGTAAAATTTTTGGAACTAATAAAATTACACTGGAAAGTTAAAATGCAATAAGGTAAAAAAAAATTACCTTGAAAAGGGATATTTAAATCCTACCAGTATAATTTTATTTACACACAAAAATTAACCGTCACAAAAATGGGAGTCATATGTTCGAAAATCCAATACATTGATGTATATGATTGGAAGACAATATTAGACCTGTCTTCAATGCTTAAACAGGTACATGAGTCTACAGCATGGGACGCACATTTGGAAAAGATGCTCTCCCCGGCTAAATAATTCAAGACAAACTCTTCAGCCGCATTAAAAGGCTCCAGCACAAAAAGACGAAAGTACAATTCGTCCTTGCCAGAAATTCAACGGAAGAGATCAAATTATCCTAACCAACGGATAAGATTGATCAGCCAAAAAGCCTATAAATAGAGACTGAAACAAAAGTTTCTAACCAAGCTTGAGCATCCTGAGTAGAGAGATATTCTATTGAGCATTCAAGAAATATCTAGCAAAAGAAAAGTGTTATTCTATCCACGACTCTCTACTTAGTCTCTTGCTTCACTAAACTTCTTGGTATCAAGTGTTCATTGCCAAAATCCTAGAAGTTTAATTCCTAGTTGGAGGTTAGAACTTTCTTGTAACAAGATCAGAAATTGTTGTAAACACTTCAGGAGGACAGTTGTTCCCGGGCCTGAGTGTGGTTAGATAGGTCAGGAGTTCCTTTTGATCCCCACTGGATCAATTGAGAAAAACCTAAAGGATTGAATAGCTTGGAGTGGTGTTGTACTCCTCGTAAAACACCTTCAATCTAGGCCAGAGTTGTCAAGGCTAGATTGGCACTAAGTGTATTGGGCTTAATACATTAGTGAAATCCATTTGAAAGAGGGTGAGACTGGATGTAGGAGGATTACACCACCAGTGAACCAGGATATACTGTGTGTTGATTCATTTTCAGTCAACAAAGCACACACTGAACACTTCTCATAAAAGATTGTAGTCTGCCAGCAGAATCCTAAGCAGTAGTCTTAATTGACCATACTGCTTATCTTACTACTTAATAACTAACTTTCTTTGAGATACAAGAGCTTCACAATATCACAACTATAAGGTGTGTTCCATTAGATTTCATGAAAACCTACTTAAGGCATAGCAGTTGCCTCATCAGTCCTCTGGGGACTACCCAACTGCTAAGCCCACTGCTCACGCAAAAGTGTTTGCTTTGAACATCTCCACTTCACCAGACCTTCACAACTCTATCTCCAAGAAGTCTGTTCAAACTAATCACTGTAGTTCAAAGTGGTAACCCAGCAGTTGCCTCAGCAATTCCCTCAATATCACCCAACTGCTCAGACCACTGCTCTAGTAAAACTCGCACTTACTTGAACTAATGTGCATCTTCAGAAAGCCCACATCATCCTGAGCAACACCATATAATCAATCCTTCCATACCTTCACTTTTACTTCAGCAGGTGCCTCAGCAGTTCCCTGGTTACCACCGAACTGCTGAGACCACTGCTCTCATTAAAGGGTGATTATCAATCTACCCTGTCATATCATCAGAAAACTCTTCCCACTCTAAGAAAGATTCTAAATGCACTTTCATCATACACTGAGTATTTCGTTAGCAGGTGCCTCAGCAGTTCCCTGCTTTCTAGACAACTGCCAAGCCAACTGCTCACCTTACAAAGCCCAAACTTCATCCATCATAGAAAGTTGTTATACACCATTTATCTAAGAGGTTAAAGACTTCCGCTGTGCATCTAGAAATCTCCCAAAAGATTATAGATCAACTCATCTAGAAGGGAAAAGTTTTAAAGTTGAAAAAGCTTTAAAAATCTATTCACCCCCCCTATAGACTTTTACCTCTATCCGGGACCATCAAGTGGTATCAGAGCGGAGTGTTCCTAGAGTCAGTTTCTGACTAATTTGAACTAAAGATCCAAAACCACTGTACTTCCCAAAACAACTTTCTAACAATGGACAGACAGTTGGCAAAGAATCTTATGTCCATCCAAAGCAAGTGTGATGACTGGAGAACCAATGATGTATGGGATGAGCTCTCTATGATCCAATCAGCTGATGATAAAAAAGGCTCAAGTGATGAAAGCAGTTCATCAGGGAGTGAGGAGGAGACTCTGATTTGTCTCTATGGAATACATCGTCCTGATAACTCCTCCAACAACTGCTCCTTGATAAGAACAACAAGTAATGACAATGACGAGGTATTATCCCGTTCTTCAAATAGCTCATATGATTCTAGCTGTTCTAGTGTTGATATGGAAGCTCTACTCCATCAATTTGAAAATTTTCAAAAGAATCACCTTCTTTTAATGAACGAGAACTGTAGGCTTCAAGAAAATTTGATTATAGCCCAAGCTCAATTGGGTGAAGTGATTAAAATAAAAAATCTTCTTGAAATCGAAAACATCAGTTTAAAAGAAAGGCTGAGCTCCCTCACTATTCCTATTAGTGAGGAAATTCAACACAACTTAAATAACAAAGGATCAGAAGACACACCCTTAGCCCAACCATTGAAATACTCTCCCAAATACTCTCCTATCCCAAAAATCGCCACAAATCATCTTGACACAAGAAAACCCAACCAACTAAAACCACACTCCCAAACTCTGTCAAACAAAAGGATCCAGTCCTCCTCCACATCAAAATCCAAACTTCCCTACAATCCCATCTTCCAAAAGAACCAACCAATCAAAAGGACCAACCCCATTCCAAAGAAAAAGTTGATCACTACAAATACACATATTCCTCCCCCTCTAAGGAATAATGTTCATCAAAATATAGCCAATCCTCATACTGGCTGTAGATCTATCAGCTCAGATCATAGTGTCCCTAAATTGGTATGGATGCCCAAAAGCATTCAAAGGAAGATGCCCACGAAATTGTGGGCTGCTACTCAAAACTGACAATACAGGAAGGTGCTGGAGTAGCCAACTTACAAGAATCATTTTCAAAGCTACTCCATGCACATGATAGGTAGCAAGGGGCTACTATCAAGTTATTAAATCTGGAGAAGGACCCAAAACAACAGTTGGGAATGTGGAAGAAAAAGGAGAAACAAAAGGAGCTGGAATATCCAAATCAAATGTAAACTTTCAATCAAGAACCTAGGGATTGAAGTTCAAATTCAAGAAGCACTAGCCAGCTCCGAGACAATGTTTACAGAGTAACACTCTCCATGGACATCTGCTTGATCAGAGATGTCCAAAGCAACAAAATTGTGCTAACTGGTAGAAGAAAGAAGGATACTGGAGAGGCTCCAAGCTGCCTTCCCAGCAAAAGTCAACAAAAAGACTGGAGTATGGAAGCAGCAGTTGATTCAAATGGCAGTCCACTGCCAGCAGTGAACTCAAATGGCAGATCAATGCTAGCAGGTGACTCAAATGAAAGATCACTGCCAGTAGTTGACTCAAAATATACGACAATGCGAGCTGCTGACTCATTCTAAAATCAACCCCTCAAGACGCTCCAGTTGAATTAAGCACAAGGCTTAACAATCCCAATCCTCTTACTCTACCAGAAAAAGAGGAGGATGAGCAGGTGTTGGGAATATTTTATGGTGTTCAATCTAGTTAGTTATCTTTGTATTTATGTAGTTATTAATTAAAAGTGTAATACGGGCCACAAATGTGTATCAGCCCGTGGGCTTCCTTGTAACCCGTAAGTTAGCCAACTTCTCCTATAAAAGGAGGCTAACTTACGGGAACCCAAAAACATATAGTGAGAGGCTTAGAAACGAAGAGGCAAGATAGAGAGAAATTAGGGTTGTCGCTGCTCTCCTTATCCAGGGAGAGTAGCGGCAGGTTCATACGGTATACCAGATTCGGTTCTTATCTTGTCGATTTCTTCCTATCTTCTTTTATCACTACTATGGTTGTATGATTGTTAGTATTCTGGGATTAACATTTGGTATCAGAGCCGAGGCGTGAAACAGGTTGGATCTGTCTGCGATTTTTTGGATCTAACGAAGAACTGATATGTTTTTTCTTCTGTTTTTCTATATGTAGAGATTTGCTCCTGTAATCTCGTTTGTGAACGAAATTTTGTAAAAATCATACTGTTGGATTCGCCTTTCAAAACCGATCCAGCAGCATACCTCTTTTTTCGTTTTCTGCAATT